TTAGTCGGGTCACAGATCCAATGCCTGAATTCTCTCTCGGTGCTCAGCGGGAGATAAGGTGCAACTCTACAATCAAGGGAGAGGGATGGTACCATCTCTACAGCTACTCTGTTTAGGCAGTGGGCCAGGGAAATGCAGAGCTATGAGCAGACACTTGTAACGAGCAAGGAAGTAATTAGAGAAAAGGAATCGCCTGACCGCCATGGTTACTGCTCCATGTACCAACGCAGAAAATGGAAACATGGCTGACCCAGCCACAGCACCCCAGCAAGCAGCAGAGCTTACACTGAGCAAGCACTAAAGCAAGAGGTGCTAGCCCCTCTTCTTGGTGAGGTTTCCTGCAGGGCCCATGACCACCTATACCTGGATCGGGGGTGAGAAAGGGAGCAGAGGCTTGAAAAATCAACATTCCAGGGTCTCACTTTGTACTCTTTAACTCACACACCTTTAAGGTTTTTGGGAATCTGCCCCTTGCCTACAAACACAGCTTTGAGCATCACTGTTCTAAGAATGAACTACCGGGGCAGGCGCTGACCCTAATTAAAGTATCCATGACCCACAGCAGAAGATCTGGGCTTGCTACCTGGTCCTGGCTCCTGACTCCAACCCCCTGCCAAGGCAGACCCTGGAGGGCAGTAATTGGGTTCCACGGGGAGATCTGAACTGTGTTCCTGGCTCCTAGGAGCGGGAGGCATTTGAGAGGTGATCAGTAGAAGGCCTTCACTCTCCAGGTCTCTCAAACAGAAATGCAGGTGCCCCATGAGATGGAGCAGGTAGGTTCAGACAGCTCCTTGGCTCTGCTCAGTCCAAGTCTCAGGCCAGAGCCTGGGCACACAAGGATCCTTCTAAGGAGCTCACGGTCCTGAGAGCAGACAGGTGTGCAAACTGGCAACTTCAGTTGATGACACATCGTACAGGTTTGACCATGGGGAAGGTGATTTATTCAAAGATTTCAAAAGAATGCCTTGAAATACAAAACAGACAAAAAACATTCCAGCCTGGACCGAGTTCAAGTTAAGGAAAAACCTGGCTCGGTGTGCGTGAGGGGGTGTGGACAATGATGAGGGATGAAGCTTTGCAGGGCTGGAAGGGGAACAAACACGATTCTGCCAGGGGCTGGCTTCTCAGCTGAAGCACACAGTCCCCAGGAGGAAGGGTGAGGGAGGACAGGGCCGTGTGGCAGGAAGGTGAGCCTGCCCAAGCTTCCACTAGGACAAGCAGCGGTCAGTACCACCACCTGTGCCAGACCCCACGCGAGCGGCTTTCCTCCTCACGCAGGGATCCTGGACAGCCACCAGATGGCAAGGGGGAGACAGACGGAGCAGCTTACAAATATGTACCAAGATCATAATTTCAAACACACCTGACAGCAGGGACAGTCCAAAAGTCTGTATCCAAAGTGTGCACTGCCACACTAGATTTCAACAGCTTCCCTGCACCCCCTTCCCAAATGAGAAGATTTCCACTTTCGCACTAACAGAAGACTGGATCAATAAGATGTGGTGTGTCTGCATCATGAATTGTTTGGTTCATCCCAAACAGGCCACAAAATACTCAAGTATGCTACAACATATATGAACTTGGCAAAAATACGATGCTAGCACAGGCTAAGGCACTTCCATTCTACCTCAGAGTGCCTGGGCTGCAGGGGAGCGCCAGCTCCTGAGCCAGCATCCTACCAACGAGGGCCCGCCGGCAGCAGATGGCGGCTGCAGGAACTGACTCCCACCACTCGTGCTGGGAGGCCAGGGTCATGATCCAGGTCCCCAGTCTTACCCCGGTCCCGTCTGCTGTGGGCGCTTCGGGAGTGGACAGGAGCTCATCTGCTAGCTTTCTCTGTCACACTGCCTTCCAAATAAGAATACTTTAAGTTAAAAAACAAAAACGATAAATGAAAGAGGTCCACCACAAAAGACCTATTGTATGATCTCCTTGATGTGAAATGTCTTTAACGAGCAAATGTCAGAGACAGGACAGTGGCGGTCACGGGCCCTAGGGACAAGCGGGCAGTGACTGCTGACAGGCACAGAACTTCCTCTGGGACATGACCTGCGGCCTTGCAGGAAGCTGAGAACAGGAGCAGAGCTGAGACAGCCCCCCGGTCCAGGCGAAGGCAGGAAGGTACCAGGCAATGTCTCCAGGCGCACCACAGCAGCCCCCCACACCCTTTCCCCCCCGGCACGGATCTTACACCCTGCAACTAGGCTGAGAAAGCCGACTAGCTACAACACTCTGAGAACTCCTCAACACTTCCTAGATGTAAATCATGTCTTCTGTGAACAGCAATCATTTCTTTAGCTGCTATTTGTGTATTTAGATTCTCTCATCTTGAGCCAGTTTTGACAGCTTGTCTCTTTTTGGGATTCGTCTGTATCATCTTAGACTATCCAATTTGTATTGATATACTTATCTGTAGCACAGAAGTCTCTATTCCTGTAAGGTCCTTTTTTTAAAAAAAAAGATTTATTTATTTCTTTTTTTTACTGGGAAGTCATATTTACAGAAAGATCTTCCGCCCACTCATTCACTCCCCAAGCAGCCACCAACAGCAAGGCTGAGCCAATCTAAAGCCAGGAGCCAGGAGCTTCCTTCGGGGCTCCCAGACAGATATAGGGTCCCAAGGTTTTGGGCTGTCCTCAACCTCTCTCCCATGCCACAAGCAGGGAGCTGGATGGGAAGTGGAGCAGCCGGGATACAAGCCAGTGCCCCTATGGGATCCCGGCATGTATGCAAGGTGAGGACTTTAGCCACTAGACTACCGCACTGGGCCCTCCTGTAAAGGCTTTTTCTTCACTGAAGTTTTCAGATTACCAACTCAGTTTCTTTCACTGTTTAACTGTATAGTTACATTCTTTTTTTCTGAGTCAGTTTTGATAGTTGTGTCTTTGTAGAGATTTGTCAGTATCACCTAGACTATTCAATTTGTATACATATAATTGTGGCATTTTACTTCTGCAGGGTCACTGTCCTCTCTTTTACTCTGATTTGTCTTTCTCTCCCCCAGCCCCAACCGCCTTTTTCTTTTTTTAATTTTTGCCTTTATCAATCTAGCTAAGGCTTATGAACTTGTTATCTCTTCAAACAGCCAACTTTTGTTTTTTATTAATTTTCTCCATTCATTTTTGGTATCATTTCTTCTCTCACCTCTATTACTGTTTTCCTTCTGCTTCTTTGGGCTCACCATCACTCATTTGAGAGACAGAGTGGAATCACACGGGACAGTCCTGTATCTCTTTTTGAGGAAGGCTGACACTCCACCATGTGTGTGTACGACACTTGCCCTTGTGTCGAGGGACAGCTGGCCGGCTTTCATGTTTGCGCTGCGGTGCACTGCGCTGCTGGGAGCACAGGCCCCTGCTCTTCGATTCTTTCTGATACACATGCAGAAGTGACAGTACTGGTTTACATGGTAATTCTCTGCTAAGCTTTCTGAGGTACTATCATAATATTCCCCATGGCAGTTACTCATTGTATATTCTCCCCACAACGCAAAAGCTACCCATTTTGCTACACCCTTGCATATTTTCAGCAAATCCTCATTCATTTAAGATTGTTCTGCTCTATCCATTAGAATACCTTTGATTCTTACAAACCAGCTGCAGGTTGGGCAGATTCCTTGTAACTAAGACCATATGTGAGGAAACCGGAATCCACACTGTACTTTTCCACATCTTAATGGACCTAGCTCACAAGTTTCCACTGTGTACTGAGAATGAGTCTCCACTTGAGAGTGATCTTTAACAATGCTAAAACCTGGATGGGGAGGCAAAGTGTGGGCATCTAGTGCGCCAGTCTGGGCGGCCTGCACCCACTATACTGGACAGCCCAGTTCGAATCTCACCTCTGTCGCTTCTGATCCATCTTCCTGCTATTGTGGACTCTGGGAGGCAGCAGCTGGGAGCTAAAATGCCGGGTTGCTGTCCTCCACGCAGAAGATCTGGACTGAGTTCCAGGTTCCTGGCCTGGCCTGATCCAGCCCTAGCTATTGTAGGTTTTTGGGGGAGTGAGTCGATGGATAGAAGATCTGTGTTTCTCTATTTCTGCCTTTCAACTAAGTTTAAAATAAATATTTAAAAATAACTATAAATTCTGAATGAAATTCAAAGAGAAAAAGAAGGGAGGAAATGGCTGAGTACTAAAAACAGCCCAGATGTGAAATAATCAAGACACAAAGCACAATGGCAATGGAAAACTGACAGACAAAAAGCTAGCCACAGGGACCGGTGTTGTGATTCCCCAGGCTAGGCAACATCACACACGAGCACTGGTGAGCCCCAGCTACTCTGCTTCTCATCAGCTCCCTGTTAAAGCACCCAGGAGAGCAGTGAAAGATGGCCCAAGCACTGGGGCTGGACACCCACAGGAGAGACCTGGATGGAGAGCCAGGCTCCTCTCTGACCTGGTTCTGGCCTGATCACTGTGAACATACAGAGAGTGGACAGCAGATAGGAGATCTTTTTTTTCCCCCTTAATTAAAAAAAAATATATATATTTATTTAACAGGCTGATTCAGAGACAAAGGAGAGGAGGAAAGACAGGGACAGCTAAGGTGAGCCGGGCCAAAGCTAGGAGCTTCTTGCAGGTCTCTGACGTGAGTTCAGGGCCTCACGCACTTGGGGTCACCCTCTGCTGCTTTTCCACCACATCAGCAGGGACCTGGATCGGAGGTGGAACACCGGGATTCGAAGCAGCACCCATATGGGGTGCTAGCATCAGCTTATCTCTGTAACACAACACTAGCCCCTGGAAGTTCTCTCTGTGACTGAAATAAATAAACGCTCATTGAATCACTTCAATAAGAAAGTGCTGAGAATAAGCGGCTGCTCTGGAAAGATTAACAAACTTACTTTACACAGCCAAGTTCAAGCTGGACACTGAGTGCGTGTCCCTGGATTCAGTGCAGGACTGACTATGGCGAATGAGAGTTACATAGTGTGAACCATGACGCGCGGAAACTTGCTCTGACAGCTGCTTGCACGTGAGCAACAAGAGTGTACTACCTGATAGCCTTCTGTCTTCTTCTGACACCACTTCAGCAAGGCATTCCTCTTCGAGCCTCCATATTCTCTTGCCAATGCCGAGAGAGGATCCTTCCTTTCTTCCCTGGGAAGCGAAAAGCAAAGTGGCTGACGTTGAAACAGTTTTAAGCATCAGAATAAGAAAACAGAGTTAGTTTACATTCTGAGCAGGAGAAATGTACATTCAAAGGCCATCTAATGGCAAAGATATCTTCAATGTTTTAGAGTGATTTATTTATTTGAAAGCCACAGTGATAGAGGGAAAGGGAGAGAAAAAGAGTAACACACAGACACGTTGATTCACTATTCAAATGGTCGATGGCCTATTAGTTCAGGCTGAAACCAGGAGACCACAGCTCCATCTGGGTCTCCTGTCTGGATGAAAGGGAGCCAAGCACTTGGCCCATTTGCACTGTCCTCCAGGCACAGCAGCTGAGAACAGGATCAGAAGGGGGCACCCAGTACTTGAACGAGTGTTCTGACAAAGCAATGCCAGCCTTGTATGTGGGCAGCTGAGCTCACCATTCCACAACTCTGTCCCTTTTCATCTTGCCAACTTTTAGTTTACAATCCCACAGAACCCTTGCTGTCGAAGAGAGGGACCCACTCATAGTCCACGTGGAAATCACTAACGACCCCATACATGCCTGCACCATCGGCGGAATGCTCTCTGGGGTGCTTCTGAAAATGGTGTTACTATCCTTCATTCAGGCGCTTCCCTTCCACCATCATTATGCTTTGATTTGCAACCTTTCCTTCGGTTTCTAACCTCTTACGTCCTTAACATCACATTAACAAAAGTCAGTTTGTTTGTTTGTTTGTTTTTTTAAACTGAATGACAAAGAGAGGGGGAAACAGATGAGTCACTGACAGAGAAAGAGCGTGCAGGACAGCATTTGTACCTGCTGGTTCACTCCCCAAATGCCCAGAGAGTTCCAAAGCCAGGAGTGAGAGCTCCCTTGGGGGAGGCGTGGGCCCACGTTCTCACACCAGTATCTACCACCTTCCAGGCACATTAACAGAGAGTTGGACTGCAAAGGAAGTACTTAGATTTGCGACAGTGGTGGCTTAACCCAGTCACCGCAAATTCCACCCCTAACCTCTCCATTTTAAAATGGGGAAACCAAGGCCAGACCACAGCTCCTCAATGGGGAGCTGGGAGGAAGAAGTCCACCAGAAAAGACTGGAAGACTCTGGCTCCCCTCAGCACTGCACTCCCTACCTGTCTCCCTGGTGCCCTAATCATGGGACCACTGCCATCCCAAAAAGCTGGGCTTTAAAGCAAGCTTAAGGTACTGGGGCGTGGGGATGGGGTGGTGTGTGAAATATCCCATTTTATCCTCAAGCTGATAAATTAATGTATGGTCAAATTTCTGAAATCCACACCTACCTTTCCTTTAATTCTTCTTAATTATCTTTAATGGTTTTTCCTTATCTTTGTAACAATGGATGCTAAATTTTTGACATTTTTTTCTCTGTAGTTCCTAATGTCTCAGTCCAAAGAGGTTCCAGACACAAGACAACCATGAACAAAATAAACTTACACTGTCACATATGGTTTACCAATTATTAATGTAGCATCACATTCTCAAACAAGTCTAAACAATTAGAACCGCCTTTGGCATTTAACTTCAGATCCTTTTCCTAAAATTCTGCTGCTGAAACCATCTTTTTGTTTGAAAAACCTCCTGCAGGGCCAGCACTGTGGGGGTAGCAGGTGCTAGTTCATGTCCTGGCTGCTCTACTTCCAATTCAGCTCCCTGCTAGTGTACCTGGGAAAGCAGCAAAGAATGGCCTAAGACTTTAGGATCCTGTACCCACGTGGGAGACCTGGAAGAAGCTCTTGGCTTCAGAGTGGCCCAGCTTCAGCCATGTGGCCATTTGTATAGTGAATCAGTGCATGGATGCTCTCTCTCCCTTCCTCCTTTCCTCTCTCTTTCTCTGTAACTCCACTTTTCAATAAATAAAAATGAAGCTAAGGGAGGGGGATAAGGAAAGAAGGGAGGGAGGAAGGGAGAAAGGAAGGAATGAAGGAGAAGGAGAAGGAAACCTCCTGGCCCAATCCTCCTCTTCTTCACCTCCTCTTCTTCACCTCCTCGGCTGTCACCCTTCTGCAGATCTGACGTCTCTTTTTCCTGATGTGCCTCCAGGACAGCGTGTTCCTTGGATCACCTTCTTAGATAGATTTATTCACTCCACTATAGAGCTGCCATTACATCACAGTGGCCCACCTGACTTCACGGCGGCTCCGCTGCCTTGAGTAGACCTGTTCAATATCTTTCATCACACCAACACAGCTAGGACACCTTGCCCTGGCTCTTGGCATCTGTCCTCAGAATCCGTAGTCCTGCCTGCCTGCCATGTCCCCTCTCCTTCCCCTTCACCCCAGCTCGTCCTTTTTCACCAGGGAAGTCCTGTTCTCGTCAATGGTCACCTTCTCGCTAACCATCCTGAAGGGCCCACTCAGTCCCACCCTCTTGGGGAGGCTTCCCCAACCCTATCCACACTCCGAGCATTCAAATCTCACATTGCTTACTTCGGCACCCAACTACTCAAGTGTAATTTTAAAAAACAACAGTATATTCTACACCATTTACAAGATAACTGGTGTGGGATAAGTCAGTGAACATTTAACACCGTAAGTGGCAAGGAACACAGTGCGCCAACACCATTCTCCAGCCAGGTCATGTGCACTTCAAGGCCAGGAGAGGTGCATGAGAGCCAGCGGAGTTGACCTCTCTCTACCTTAGGCGGCTTCGGGTGGTGGGGGTCACGGAGGCTGTGGGAGAGGAGGACAGCGAGAGCTGGGGCGACGTGGTTCCCATGGCCATCAGAGAGGCTGGCGAGGCTCCCTCTGGCGCCGAGATGTCCCGCTTCATCTCTTCACTGCTCCGTCGAGACACTGAGGGTGAGAAACAGTCATGCATTACTTATTTTGTGACCAAAAAAAAAAAAAAATCTTAGGTTGAGTTTCTGAGACGTTCTCTTCTGAAGATTCCAAAAGGAATGCACGTTCCCTTAAAGTATAATGGGAGAGATTTTCTTTACTTTTGCATTAAGAAATCTGTGCAGGAAGGTGTGTTCAGCCTGCTAGTTAAGACCCCAGAATGCCACGTCAGAGGGCTTAGGTCTGACACTTGTCTCTAGCTCCTGGATCCAGCCTCAAGCGGACAGACTCCGACAGGCAGGCAGTCACTGCTCAGGTACGTGGACTCCGGCTACCCATGGGGAGACCTAGACTGGTTTGCAGCCCTGGCTGCTGCGGACCTCTGGAGGGTTGGGCCAACAGATGAAGGCTCTCTGCCTTTGTTTCTGTCTCTCAGATGAATGCTTTTAAAAAGCAAACCAAAAGAATCTGGGAGCAGTTGGTTGAACCACTTGCACTGGGTTCCACATGCTCGCTGGTTCTTAGTAGATCAAGAGTTTTTGAGGACAACCCTTTATTGTATGTAGACAGCATGCAGTGAGTGCTATGTGAACATGCGTTTCCTTCCCAACACAAATGAAAACCAAAGCTCACTGCTGCAACCCCTGCCTAACCCTCACGGCTGCAATGAACACAGCCGCTATGAATGCAGCTGCTGCCTGCCCAGGAGCCAGAAGCAAAGAGATGCTTCATTACATGGCTACCCACACATGTCAATCAGGCTGCGTTTTCAAAACTCGATCAAGGCAGCCAGAGCTAGACTCTGACTGTCAGGTGCTGTAAGACACTGCACCTTGTTAGACTTTTATAGGACCAGTTCGGTGGAGGTGGCCATTTCAGCACCGAGAACGGTTAAACAAAAGTGGTTCTAAAGGAGGTGGCCCTGAGGAATGCTGGGTGGGCCCTTGGGAGCTGAGGAGCGCCCTGTATGAAGTGACACACCAAAGGCCCAAACCCCAGACAAGTTCCCCTGCAGCTCGGCAGGAAGCATGAGCTGTCTCACCCTTGGACGGACTTTCGTGAGGCAGCAGTGACTCCCCATGCCCTACTGCTGCCAAGTACCCTCCATTTATTGGCTAACATATTCTTGATTTATTGGCTAACATACTCTTGATTTTAGGGTAACCACAAAGAACACAGAATCCTGGGTTAGGAAAGCAACGCTCTGAAGATGAACTGGGAACACACGTGTTCTAGGAAGTGATCTTAAAATGACATGTGCACATATTTCTGGCATAATTTTCTCAATTTCTATCATAATTTTTGTGAGCTTTTAAATATTATTTTTATTTATTTGACAGAGAGAGAGAGAAGAGAGAGACCCTCCCATCTGCTAGTTCACTCCCCAAATGTCCACAGAAGCCATAGTTGGGCCAATAACTCAACCTAGGTGTCCCCCATGGGTGGCAGGGCCCTAACTACCCCCTGCCATCATCTGCTGCCTCCCCAGCATGAGCACCCCCAGGGAGCGGAGTGATGAACCTAGACCCTCTGACGTGGATGTGGCCTCACCAAAGCATCCATCAATTCCCCATCTCCCTCAGTTCTTATCATGCTCAACATCAGGAGGTTCTTTCATGTGGAGTGCCAGGAAACTGGATGACAACACTTCTCTGAGTTGTATATGAAACAGAGGAAGTAGGCTGAGAGAGACTCCAAAGGGCTCTGTGCTAAGAAAAGCACACAGAGAAAGGTTTTGGGAGCTGAACCCTGGAATGGTCCTTGAGCTCATCACCAGACTTCCCATGGACTTTAACTCTCGGTTCTGAAGTGCAGAAAAGGTTCTTAACTTCCCTCCATCAGCAAGGGGAACGGTAACTGCTTTACGGGGGATTTTCCTTTCATGGTGTAACTCTTCGTCCACTCTTTACACAAGGGGAACATTAATTGATTTATGGTGATTTTTTCCTTTCGTGCTCCAATTTCTTGATGAGCTATTAAGCATAAACTAAGGCCACAGAGGGAAAATAACACAAACAATTGAAAAATAGAAGCACTAGCTCTAGAACACTATATAACCTTGTTAAATTCAGTATTTTGGGGGATGGTTTTATCATACTTGAAAAGTTTCAACTTCCAGAAAACCATTGCTGTGCTTTGAAATAATTATTCAAACATCAGCCATGACATTCTATGAGAGAAAAACTTGAATGTTTCATGCTGTATTGACTGAGAGCGAATCTGTGTTCTCAGTGTATCACCAGACACACCATAAGCCATGGGTGGGCAAACTGTTCTGGTAAGGCCATTTATAATACAGTTTGCAAGCCACTCAAACAATTAATTCACATAAAGACTAGCCTGCTGTCGATTTAATGAATTTTGAGTCTTGCCTGCAGTTGCTTTGGCAGGGCCAGACCAAATGACATTGCAGCCCTTAAATGGGCCAGACTTTCCCCACCCCTGCTGTAGACACTTAATAAATATTTGTTCAACAGAAGGAACTATCTAATGATTTGTTTCTGTTTTTAAATCCCATTTTGCAAATGTGCTCTCCGGAGACTTTGGAAAAGCCTACAAGGTGAATTCAGAGTGAAAAATAACCAAGTGAAGAGCCCGAGGCAAGCACAACTACAGGCCTAACGAGAGCGGTGTGGGCTGATGGCTGTGACTCTCGGGGCGTCCTAGGGAAGGGCTGTCACCTGCAATGGTCTTGGCACTCTCCATGGCAGGTACCCTGGGCAGCGAGGCAGGCCGGCTGGTGGATGACGTCCTCAGCAGATGCTCTGCACAGGGAGAAAGGTCACAGCGAGAGATGAGATGCTAAGCGGAGGGTCTCCAGGGGCACCAGGGCCGGGGGAAGGCTCACCCTCCTTCCCAAGCCCAAGCCCCCAGGCTCCAACAAGTCCTGACGTCTGTTCACCCAGAGTAACTCCAAAAGAGAAGGAACACGAGAGAACATTCTGTTCAGCGTTTCCTTTCTGGGGGCCACACTAGCTATGCAGACAGGCACGTCTACACTACTGACTGCCACTCACCTCTTCAGGACAATCCAGCCCAGGTTCACTGCATCTAGGTCCCCTGGACACACTCAGGAACAGCCTTGTCCCTGGGCGCCATGCGCATACCACACACAAGTAAGACCAATGGGATCCTCAGAACAACAGAACGAGAACGGGCTACAAAACCACCGAGCGGAAAAGCCAGTCACTCTGATCTCCAGCAGGCAGCAGGGAAAGCTAGCTGGCCCTGCTCTGTAGAGAAGAGAGGTGGGGGAAGAGCCCATCTCCCCAGAAGAATAATGAGGGTGTCAGTGTGGAAGACACCAAGAGCCCAAGGGCTGCGACCTCGGGTGGGTGGGAAACAGAGCCAGCAGAGGAGAAGCTCACACGGGCAGCCAGGGTGCATCCTATGGTGGTTGGGGTAGGGGGTCAGGAGGGGAGTGTGTGTGGCGTGTGTGTGTCCACACATGGGCAGCCTGAGGCGGCAGGGGTGTGTGTGTATGTCAGGGAGCAGTCCGTGGTGATGGTGTGTGTGTGTGTGTGTGTGTGTGTGTGTGTGTGTGTGTGTGTGTGTGTGGCAGCTGGGGAGCAGCCTGTGGTGGCGGGGTGTGTGTGTGTTTTGGTGTCCTTGCCAACCCAGCATGCCTACCACTTCTTCCGAACTGGCCATTTAAACAACCACTCCCTTCAAAATGTGAGGATGTGAAAAGCAATGGCAACTGATGGTCTCTCCTCCGGAGAGGACATCTTCCATTGCTCTGAAGTAGGAGGGACCTGGCCTGGGGAGTGGGCAGCCCGGGCTGAGCATGTGAACAAAGGTGGGCCCCACACTGTCAGCAGTCATTACAGCTTGCCCATCTTGAGCAATCCCCACCCTGTGCACACAGCCTACGGGAGGCATCGGTCAGAATCCTGGGTCCCGCCAACAACTGGCATTTATCCTTACGGGAAGAGCATTTTACTCACACCCTGACAGAAACAACAAAGGCAGCAGGACACAGACGTTGAAGAAAGAAAAAACAAAACAAAACAGAAATCGGCATTTAGATCTAAGAAAAATTTCCATCGAATGATTACAAAACTGTGGTCACTTCCTTCAAAGTCTTGGTCTCCCCCCAAAATAACGCAGCAAATTAAGAAAGCGAAAACAGAGGTGAGAGAGGAATCAAAACGGAAAGCGTCAGCTGCAGACACAGGCACCATCCTGGCCCTGCCCGGGGGAAGTGCACCCAAGGAGCCACACGCAGCCCGAAGGCTGCCCTCTTCCACAGGGCACGCTGCGGACACACAGTGAGGAGAAGGTCACAGGACTCACTGCTGACATGTGTGCCCAGCACCTGGGTAGGTCCTTTACCTGAACTCTGTAAAAACGTACAAAAATGCCTCACAGGCCAAATACACTGTTCACTATAAGTATGCATGGCAACTTTCCACAACCATGACACTCTGTGCTCTAAGTATTTTTCCTGCAAGAGCTCAATCTCGGGCCCAGCATGGTGGCCTAGCGGCTAAATCCTCAACCTTGCACCACCGGGATCCCATAGGTAACTGGTTCGTGTCCCAGCAGCCCCACTTCCTATGCCATTGCTTGCTTGTGGCCTGGGAAAGCAGTAGAAAATGGCCAGTAGAGCAGGCTGGGGCCAGCACAGGGCTGTAGTGGATTCAACCGTGCCTGCAACGCCAGCAATCCCACACAGCTGTCCTGCTGCTCCACTTCCCATCTGGCCTCTTGTTAACATGCCTGGGAAAAGCAGGGGAAGAGGGTCCAATGGGAGAGCATGTGGGAGACCCAGAAGAAGCTCCTTGCTTTGGGCTGGCCCAGCCTTAGCCATTGTTGCCATCTACGGAGTAAACCAGCGAACAGAAGATCTCTGTCTCTTTCCCTCTAATTTTGCCTTTCAAATAAATGAATAAATCTTTAAAAAAAAAAGGCCAAAGATTCCCAAGTGAATTACAACTTTGTTTTAAAAAACAAAAACGAAAACTGCATAGCAAGCTGGAGAGACTGTATTATACCACTGGAAAAAAAAAATTCCAACCTACTGCCATATGGAGTTATTTTTGTCTTCAATCCATTCATCAAACAAAAAATCAGTGGGTGTCTGCTAGGACTGGCCAGTACTGGGCCTGGTGCAAAGGTCAGGGGGAAAGAGGAAAGGCAACTGGAGCTTGTCCCCGTGGAACCCCAAGTCTAGAATGGAAGCAGACAGCCCTAACGCTGTGAGTGCTGGGCTGCCGTAAGCACCCAGAGCTCTGGGAACACAGCCGGCCACGTGATTGATTTTGAGGGGAGGTCCGGAAAGGTCTTGTCAGGAAGTGACAGTGAAGTGGAAACTAGAATATTAATGGCTTTTATACAGGCAAAGGAGAATCAGAGCTTGGAAGGGAAAGCTACTTCCTGGCCAAGTGCTCTGCAAGCACCAGAAGAAATGCAGGACTGCGCCATTGGAGGGCAAGGGCAGGCTGGCGGCAAGGTGGTCGTGCAGGCCAACTGCAGGGTGAGGGGTCTGGGCACTGAGGGTCTACTGGATCGGCGCTGCCTGGCAGCGTGGACTGAAGACGCAAGGTGCGTGCACAGTGAACAGTTACTGCACAGGCCAGAGCTGGTACGGACATGCACACGGATGCATCACTGAAGGCAAAGAACTCTACAAGGACACTGAACCAACAGACCTGCTGCCCAAATGCATGCAGAGGTCATAAGGAAGGAGGTACGGCATAACAGAGACAGGGAAGGTCAGTTATGTTAGGGAAGGAAGACAGATGAACGCCTTTGAGGCACTGAGGGAGATGGCAGCGGGCAACGAGGGAGAGGCAGTTCAGGACAAAGCTGGAAGTGAACACACAGTTTTGGAGATTGTCAGCATACGGCTGGTGGGATGGAAGCGATCAGTAGCATGGGGGTCCCTGCTGGCTGTTGGTAGAGTACCTCAATACATTGGTAGGGACAGAAGTTCAAATTAGAATGTGCTGAGGGGTGAGAGGGAAACGGGGAGAGCAGGGTGATCAAATGGTGAAGAGTAAAAAAGAAAGCACAGCAGTGAGTGGGTGACAGGGGGAGGGTTGGGGGTCTGGTCTCCCCACCTCTCCCCGCCACCCCCAGCTAGCATAGGACAGTTGCAAAGCATTTCAAAGGACAATGAAGGGAGAGAATAAAGAGGGTGAGGATAAAGACGGAGGAGAAAGGACTCAGTCAACGTTGCACTAACAGCACCTGGGACAGCCCACGCCCCGCCAAGGGCCAAGCCTGGGGGATATGTACCACTGTCAGCCAACGATGGAAGTGGAGAAGCCAGGAGCACACCTAACCTTCAGCCTCTCTTGCAAAAATTACAGAAGCAATTGTTCCTTTATTGTTTGACAAATCAATTTAAATGCAAAATAAAGGATCTCAAAACAAGAATCTTCTCTAATTATTAAAAATTAATTAACTGAAAAATAAAAGACAGCAGCTGAACAGGCAACTTATGTTAGCTGAAGAATAGTTCTAAATGGTCCAATGCTCCTGCCAACAGCGACGGTAAAGTCTAAACACACAGATGAACCAGGGTCTGCAGGACTGGCATCCCATACGGGCACCGCTTCGAGTCCTGGCTGTTCCACTTCCCATCGCACTCCGTATTTGTGGTCTGGAAAAGCAGGGAAGATGGCACAGGTGGATGGGCTCCTGCCCATGTGGAAGGCCTAAATGAAGGTCCTGCTTCCTGGTTTTGGCCTGGCCCAGTGATGACCACTGCAGCCATCCTGGGAGTGAACCAGAAGATGGAAGGTCTTTCCTTCTTCTAACTCTGGCTTTAAAAAGAAAATCCATAATATTACTGCTTCAGAACAACCACATTTGTTGAAAAACAAAAGAGGGTGTGGAAAACACCAAGAGGGAAGAGCCACACGAAAAGGATCCCACATTTTGTATTTAAACTCTGGTCAAATAACTGACAAGCCATTCTTTGAAATGTACATGTGTGAATACTTCTTCATCGAGCTGAATTAAGAAAAGACAACTGAACAAGTATTTCAACTGCAAGAGAAAATTTGGAATTAACTGTTTGCTAATATAAAAACCAATATTCTGCAGAGGGATAAAACAGAAACGAGAATCTTTACCAAGTGTGATACACACTACCCAGGATACAACCAAAAATTACCAGACATACACAGAAAAAAAAAAATCCATATTCAAAAGAAAAGAAAACGTATGTTAAGATCACCTACAAGTTAGAATTACCAGAAAATAATTTTAAAGCAATGATTTCAAGGATGATCAATGAAAACATGCTCTCAATGAGTGAACAAACAAGCAAAATCTCAGTTGAAAGAGTTCTGAGAAATGCTACACTCAACAAACTGAATTCTCACCAATCACATGGATGGCAGGCCTGGACTGAAGTCCCGGCTCCCAGCTTTGGTCCAAGCCAGTTCCAACGCCTGGGAGGCATTAGGAAAGTAAGCCTCTCTCAGATAAATTTACAATGAAAAACTAAGTCAAAAATTAAGGAGAAGCAGCTCTCAAAGTACTGGACCAGATTTCAGAACAAGCAATGTTGTATGACCTGAAGAAACATTCTATGACAATAAAGGGCGCCACACTCTAAGAAGACCTAACAATCCTAAATGTGTGCACCTCACAACTTCCCTACCTGCATGCTGAAAGGGACTCAACGAGGACATCTCAGTGACAGGACAGAAAGGAGAAACAAACAAACTGACTAGATGTGCAGAGTTTAATAACAAGTAGACAGAAGTTCATAAGGAAATAAAAGACCTGGACTTGGGCAACACAACGA